AGCAGCGTGCAGTCATTAAGTACCTCCATAAGAAGGGGCTATCATCAAAAGCCATCCATGATGACATGGTCAGTACATTAGGCGATTGTGCTCTGTCATACTCATCCGTCAAAAAATGAATAGCAGAATTTAAGCGTGGTAGACAGAGTGTGAAAGATGAACCCCGCTCTGGAAGGCCTTCGACGTCAACTACTGACGAAAATATTAAAAAAGTACTTGATTTAATAATGGGAGACCGCAGATTAAAAATTAGAGAGATAGGCGAGATTATAGGCATCTCTTATGAACAAACTCAAAACATCATTATCAACGAGTTGGGTTTCCACAAGGTGTCTGCGAGGTGGGTTCCGCGACTGCTTTCAGTTGAACAAAAAAGGACGCGATTGACTATTTCACGCGACTGTTTGGAGTTATTTGAAGCCGATGCAGATGATTTTTTGAATCGTTTTGTTACTATGGACGAAACATGGGTTCATTACTGTACACCGGAAACAAAACAACAATCAAAACAGTGGAGAAGACCTGGTTCACCACCCCCTAAAAAGGCTAAGTCGATTTTGTCGGCAAATAAGGTGATGGCTTCAGTATTCTGGGACTCGAATGGTGTGATTATGATTGATTATCTTGAAAGGGGTCAGAATATAAACTCTGATTACTACTGCACTTTTCTACGTCGTTTACGAGAGAAAATAAAAGAAAAACGTCGAGGAATGCTCAGAAGTAAAGTCCTGTTTCATCAAGATCACGCCCGTGTTCACACGTCAGTACAGTCAATGGCTGAAATTCACAACTGTGGCTTTGAACTGTTACCGCATCCGCCGTATTCACCTGATCTGGCACCATCAGACTTCTTTCTGTTCCCTAACCTAAAAAAGCACTTGGGAGGTCAAAGATTTTCGACAAACGACGAGGTCAAAGCAGCTGTAGACGCATATTTTGACTCTAAGGAAGAATCATTTTTTTTCAACGGTCTAAATGCTTGGAAGGGGAGGTGGCAAAAGTGTATTGAACTTGATGGTGATTATGTAGATAAATAAAAATATAACTGATTTAGTATTTGTTTATTTTCTTGGTTAGGCCGAGTACTTTTCAATCCACCCTCGTATCTTCGACAGTTGTGGACCGATTTTATTGAGTAGTTTTTAATAAATAGGTTACTTTAGGGGTGGTGCCTTATAAATTATGTAATAAATTTTAATTTGGAGACAGAATACCATCCCAAGGGTTAAAATTTTTGACGAAATTAGAGCTTTAGATATTCTTTAAAAGACGGTGCTTAGACCTTAGTTATAGTGTATAGAAATATTAAGACCGCGACTTCTGAATTTAATATGCGGAAATCATTTTGTCCATTACAGTTTTCGAAGTCGAAATTTATTTTCTTTTACTAAAAAATATTTTATTAAAAATTTAATTTTGATTCGTTATAGTTGATAATGATACTACTAGACATTGAATAAAACTATTTTTACGGATTTTATCGCGTTTAATTAACTTATTTTATATTCCCGACGTTTCGGTTGCTTTCCAGCAACCGTGGTCACGGGGGACTGAGGTGATTGACGTCCCGATGTCAAAGTTAACCCGGAGTACCTTCAGCTACTTTCGGTTTCGGTTGCTGTAAAGCAACCGAAACGTCGGGAATATAAAATAAGTTAAATAAACGCGATAAAATCCGTAAAAATAGTTTTATTCAATGTGTAGTGTTCGCGTAAATATAAGAAATCATTAAGATACTACTAGATTTAGTGATGACCTGGTAAGATACTTGTATCCAGGAAATCGATGATTGCTAGTGGATACGGGCGATGCTTTGTGGCACTCCTTGGGGGAGGACAATGTTCAGCAGTGGACTTGTGATGGGCTGTAATGATGATGATGATGATGATTATTTTTTTTACAGTTAGAGTTAAGTTTAGAGATTTTGTATTACAGTATAAGACAATATAGATTTATCTTATATATGATGATAGTCGACAAACCGCAACGAGGTAGGGTAATGGACTCTCTTTCGACTGCGCCACTTTCGTGTTAAATATTTATTTGTGTTCTTTTGTTTATACACTGTTGAATTAAATATACGTGTGAAATGATAGTAAGCTGCACTAAAGATGTGTTTTAGTGTTTCCTGTTGAAATGTTTCTGTTATTTATTCGTTTAGTTTTAGAAACTCGTAAATAAAGCTGCGACTGCGAATACACCGACACCGTACGCCTGTCCAAACCGTGCATTAAATCTATTTACATCTGACCGTTGCCAGGCGCGCGTGGGTGACAACCGTTTTGATTTCCTAACTTCAATATACATTCAATATGTCAAATTAAGTCTACATTTCTGTAACCCCTGACAAATACAGAGGTATGTTATATGTTTGTAGTCTGTATTTGTGTGTCTGTCTGTGGTGTCATAGTTCCTGATCGGAGGAACCGATTTTAATTAAGTTTTTTTCGATTGAAAGGTGTCTTAATCGAGAATGTGTTTTAGCTATGTTTCAAGAAAATCTGTTCAGCCATTTGAAGATCAGCTCAGCTATTTTTGATTCGGGGGTTTTTGAAATTTTCAATTTAAGTTATATTATTTGTGAGCCGATATTTAGGTCTTATAAGAGCGGTGTTATTGTGACTAGTATGATCTATTGTGATCGCTGCTATAGCTATAGTTGACAGCTGAGCTTTACAATTTCAGAGAATGGGACGCGGTAACAATTTACTATGCGATTTAATGAATAGGACTGACCTGGCGCCATATTGTGACGTCATAGGTGTAAATTCAAACCATTTAGGTAGGGTGAGTAAAAAGCTGTTATTTTGACATTACAAACAGACAATTCAATTTTATTTGTTTCTATAGATAACAATGAAATAATAATAAAGGTATTTTAGCAACATAATTGTGACTTTGAGGTAAAAATGGTCACTTGAGTGTTACATAACGTTTAAGGAGGGGGAGGGGGAGGTTGGGGAGGTCAAAAATCTTTAAAAATTGCGTTACGTAATAATACTTTTCGCTTTTGTATGGGAGTGATGTATCTGTTTAGTAAACTATTAACTAATCTGTGCCTGAACGCTCCAATATAGATTATATACAATATAGATTCAATATATATATATTACAATGTTATCTATATTGAATAAAAATTATTCTTACATTTTGGTAAAAAATTATTTTCTTACATCCGTGTAGTAAAATAAAATGATGTCTGGAGTTTTGGCGGGAACTTGACCGGCGGCGGTTTGCTGCTCCTGTATTATTGTTTAAATAATGGTTTGAAGTGGACTTTGATATGTAAAAGTGGTGCGAATTTGTGTATTAAGTTTTGCGCATGTGAACTATTAGTGGAAACTATGAAACAAGTGCTCTGATGGTGATGTGATTCTCAAGATAAGCTGTTTGTCTACATAGGCGCCTTTAGATACCATCGCCAACTGTCAGCTGTCTGCTGGCTCAAGTTACCGTCAAAATCTCCCAAGGACTGCACAATGTGACGCATCAACATATTGTGTAGCAGTGAACTATGAAGGATAATTATACATTTGGGGAAATTATAATAAACCGAATAAAAATACTTAAGATTTGGCTTAAAGGTCTAGATACCAGGCCATAAACTCCAAAAAAAATTATGTCTTACCTAGGTTGAAGAGCCGGTCCCGCCCTCCCTCAGTTGCGTGTACAATCCTTCATAATATTGTCTTAGCCATCATCCACCGCAGACCGAGACGAGAAAAAAAATATCGCACGATTATATCGACTGACAACAGACAAAATTATCTTGTCCTTATGTCAAAACACGGCAACGGGGAGAAGTATATTCCCGTTTGACATAACAAGTAGACATGCATATATCCCCCGTCCGTAGCATGGAGCCAAATGAAAGAATAAAAAATTATGCTTTTTTGACGTTTGAAAGGGATAAATTTATCCTAGTTCATTGGACGTGAGTTTAAGTTTATATTCATACAAAAAATCTATCTAAGTCTAAGTCTATCTCCCATTTTATCTACTGTGGATATTATATCCACCGGTGTGCTCATGCTCGAAGGGTGGATAAAACTAAGCGAGGGGATAAACATTTTCTCCTTTCCCCGGGGATACAATGTCTCCTGCCCATGCTAGCCCCGCTGAGGATGCCTCGTGTAGAGGCGAAACACTTATCTTATTATCGACGATGTTGTGTCTTTTCTAGTGTAGTGGTGTTGGGAGTAGTGGTGCTGGGATTAGTGGTGACGGAGATAGTGCACGCAAATGAGGGAGGCGGGAGGTGCTCTTCAAATTAAGTAAGACACATCATTTTATTCCATTAAGCGAATATAAGCAAAGTATTTTTTACCAACTTTAATAGATTTGCGTAAAGTAACGCCTGTTTCTATTAATTGGCCTAACCACTAAATTAAATTGGGATTTTTTCAAACAAAGCATAAATAAACAATTCAACCAGCAGTAAGCATAAAAAGTATAAACTGATAATGTTGATATAAACTGTATAAACATAAACTGAAGTTCGTGTTTTGAGCTATCCCGTTCTAATATATTCTGGCAAACTGTGATCTATTTCCTAATCTTAGGAATCGATATTGATATTTCTTAATAATCGAATACTGTAATCTAGGTATCGATTTTCTACCCACTTCAAAAAGGAGTCGGTACTCAATTCGACGGAATGTCTTTGTTTTATGTGTGTTAACCTCATAACTTTTTTCTGGGTGAACCGATTTCGATGATTCTTTTTTTATTTGAAAGCTGGTGCTTCTCATGTAGTCCCATATAAATTAGATCAAGGTCTGACCAATAGTTTTTGAGTTATACTTAATAATTTATATTGAAGTCGGTTGTACAAAATTTTTAAATTTAAATTATCTTGATCCGTAGTGTAGTATGCCTAGTCCAATAAATCTGACAGCTTTCAAAAGGTATTTCTTAGATTGCACTATAAACAATCGAGCCGCGACTATGTTGAGAATACAGTCCCGAGGCCAATTGAATAATGGGCTTATTTGTTATAGGACTTCGAACCGGTTCCAGTGCCTCCGAACCAACATGGAAATTTTTACTCCGGTGATTCTTACATCGTACTCAAGGTGAGTTGCGGCTAATTTCAGGCAGATGCGCTTAACAAAAATTATTTAACTGATTAGTAAGCTGAAGTGGCAATGGGCCAGCCATGTAGCTCGAAGAAGCACCGATGAGGAAGAAAGGTTCCCAAGTGGCAGGCTCTTAACTCGTATCGATAGACGAAGTGTGGGAGCGGCCTCCACTAGATGGAGTGACGACCTGGTAAGACATGCAGGAAGTCGATGGATGCAGGTGGCTCAGGACCGTGCTTTGTGGTGTTCTTTGGGGGAGGCGTATGTTTAGCAGTGGACTTGTGAAGGGCTGTAATGATGATGATGATGACCATGATGATGATGATGGTAAAGTGAGTTAAGTTCCTAAGTGGTAGGTAAATAAAGTAAGTATTGAAAAGATGGAGGATGTCACTCCATCTAGTGGGGACTAACTTACTACTTACTTAAATATAATTATATTCTTACTTTGACATATACTTAATTTGGCTCCATGATACAGTGGCTCGGCAGTGAGTTGCAGCGCCAAGGGCCGCGAGTTCGAATCCCGCACGGAACAAGTGTTTGTATGGCCTACAAATGTTATTGTTCTTGGTCTGGATGTTTGTCCTTGTGAAATTTACATAATATGTAAACTGCCCCTACGATACAGGCGTAATACTAGTCTGGACGTAACCTTTTTTGAAGAAAAAACTTATGTTTTTCTTTCTCAAATATTTTTAACCCCCAATAGACGACAGGTTCAAACCATTTCACCTGGGATATCCACTTCTGGTTGGGCTCAAAAACGAGCATGGACGAAGCTGGAGCGGCCGCCATCCTGTCTGTCAACTTAGATGATGAACAGTTTAACGGGGACGCGGTTCAACATCGAGAGACGCAGGGCCACGAGTCCAGACAATTCCTCAGTTATTTCGAACCAGGTAAGTTATTATGCCATCAAAAACATAACTTGTAAAAAAAACTAAGTCTCGCAACTCAGTTCTTCTACCGTAAAATGTTGTGAGATCCATATAATACCAAGTCGGTTAATTTATTCAGTGCCTACTTAAGGATCCTTCTGCCTCAAGTTATTACGTAATTAGCTAACTTAACAACATATTATAGTGACCATATCAATATTAAAAATCTTTTATGTTTTAAATAAATAAATTGACTTTTAAGAAGTTATGTTTTTGATGGCATCTCATTTCTTTTTGTAGATAGTTATATCTAGTAACCTATCTACACCTATATATTCCATTATATTATACATATACTAGCTGGCCAGGCAGACGTTGTTCTGCCCGTTTCGACGACTCTTCATATAAAATCCTTAAATTCGTAATAATAAAATATTGAGTGTCACTTATCAGGATAAAAACTATCCTATCTTTCAAGTTGGACCAAACTGCACAGAGTGCAAAATTTCATTGAAATCAGTTCAGTAGTTTAGGAGCTTATCGCGGACAAACAACGTGACACCATCGTGACACGTAATTTTTATATATAAAGATATGTACACTGAATCATTCAATGCAAATGTAACTTTGTAATCCTATATATTTATATGGGATTACAAAGTTATTTATGCAGTTGGTGTATCTCGAAAACTGGACTGAAATTGCAAAATATTTTAGTTTTCCCTTGATTTATATACTAAACAATAATTATATTCCAAATTTAAAGCTTCTATGTCTGCTAGAAGTGCCTTAGAGTTTTGATGATCGGTCAATCAATGACCTGACCTGAACTGCTTCGATAAAAGAATGGTACGGCCGTGCCGCTTTTTTGCTCGACTTGGCGGGGGCATTGCTGTACCCCCAGATTTTTAACTATCTAGTACTTGGCACGTTGCTGCCACAAAAGAAATAATTGTGGGAATAAGTGTGTGTTTACTTATAAATAGGAATAATAATACATTAATTAAAATTGAATGATATATGTATAACTTTGTCGGTAAGATACGCGCGCCACCTACTGTAAGTTAATTGTACTATGCCTATAACCTTCGTGCAAGTCCAAGCAATAAATTAACAAAATGTTGCCGCAATCTTTTAAACGGTATGGCAGCGCATAAAATACGAACGAACAAAAAGCAATTTTTATATATTAGATCGTTTTATTATATACAAAGGAAAAGTAAACAAACAGTCAGTCAGGTACATAAACGCCTAGATCTATTATCGATGATAGATATTAAAACGATACGTTTTAATCTTTGAGGATTAAGATGGAGATCTTCGTTACCACTAAAAGGTCTAGTGTTTTTGTGCTAGTGTGTTTTTCACTATACGAAATACACTAGCATTATGTTGCTATTTCACATTGATTTTTTATGAAGCCGCTTTTCCCCGGTCGACGCTTTCGTCATCGTCATTCGTTTTGACATAATAAAAGGAAGCACTGCTCTATCACTATCTCTATCTCCACGGATTCAAATATAATACTGCAGCGTGGCTCTACCGCGTACAAAATGTACCACGTACAAAATGTACCACGTACAATATTTGAATTTAATAAGAATCGAAAACTTTAAAGTGTAATTTGGGCTTAGTATAATTGCACGTGGTAGAGCCATGCTACAGCTATACTAGTAGTATAGTTGTAGCACGAATGGGTCGGCTAGACCGGGGAAGGACCACGCTCTCACAGAATACCAGCGTAAAATAGCAGCTTAACACTGCTGTGTTTCGTGTGGTGAGTGTAGAAAAGCGGAGACTCATTTTACTGGAAAACAGGCACTCTATCTTAGTCCTCACGGCTGACAACGCATCTGTATTTTAATTCGCAAACGAAGATAGATGTAGATGTCTATGTGTCACAGCAACCACTAACCATCAGGTGGACTGTGTACTCGTTTGTCACCCTTATTCTGTATATATATATATATATATATATATATATATATATATATATATATATATATATATATATATAGTTACGGCAAAACATGTCAGTTCCACATCATTGAATACTTTATGAACAATTTCAAGCAAATAAATTTTTCTATCCATCTATCTATCATTAACCCAACCTATCTGTCTATCATTATATAACAAAGCACACGCACTCTCGCACATTTATGCATCTTAAATGGTGACCAACAACATGGTTTTAGGTGCAAATGTGTGCGTATGTAGAAAGATGAATGTGTGCGTGAGTGCGAGCCGAGAAGTTGAGGACGATTTCGACGTTACTAAAATGTACGAAGCACTTCGTCTATCTTTCTTTGTAGGTTTTAGTTCAAAACAAACACATATGAACTTCTTTCCGGGATGGAATTGGTTAAAGTTATGGTTTTGTATATTGTTGATTTGTTTTGCAGCTATCAGATATATGGATGGTGGCCACGCGTCAGGCTTCAGCCATGTGACGGTCAACGCTGGGACTGAGAAGAGGCTGTTCCAGATCAAGGGCAAGAGGAATGTTCGAGTGAAGCAGGTAAAATTTCCTTGAATTTCCTAATTATTCCATACAAGGTACTGGTCCCAAAAGCCAGCCCAATATTTTTTATTCAATAAGGATAACAAACGAGCACAGTCCACCTGATGGTAAGTGAATGCTGTGGCCCATAGACATCTTCATCTATCCTCGATTAAGAATCAAAATGCAGATGCTTTGCCACACCTGAGGACTAAGATGGAATGCCTCGTTTCCAGTAAAAAGAGTCTCCGGGTTCTCTACACTCTCTACACTCACCATACGAAAAACAGCAGCATTAAGCTGTTATTTTACGCTGCTATTCTGTCAAAACGTGGTTATTTCCAAGTTCAGCAAATACATTTGTGCTACAACCATGATATAGCTGCAGCGTGTCTCTATCACTTATAAAATGGATACATAGATTTTTGAATGAGTTCCGAATGGAAAGCAATAGTCTTGAGCTGCTATTTTACACTGGTATTCTGTGAGAGGGTGGTCCTACCCCGGTCGAGCCGACCCATTCGCGCCACAACTATAATATAGCTGCAGCGTGGCTATACCACGTAAAATATAGAGAAGAATCAGCAAATAACTCTAAAGTCATCTTCATGTTTATCTTCTTCTTCTTAATTAGATTTGTCCCATACAAATCTGTTAAACATGGCTCTCTGCGACTGTAGGCATTTGATTTAATTCTCACGCTTGGCTAGTGGACTGAAGATGACAGTACCAGACTTATACTTACGTGGTAGAGCCATGCTGCAGCTGTATTACCGATATAGTTGTAGCACAAATGTAGTGTCCTGCGGTGTCCTGGATAGTTTTTAAGCAGCGTCCTTAGTTTTCAAAGCGCCCTGATGATGTCATGTTTTTTAAGATCACGGCATTGAAATTAACGAGGAAAAATTATTTGACGAGATAGACAGCGAACGGATAGCGTGGCGAAGGGAAAACGAAAACGAACCGATACTTGCGTACATATGTAGTACATACATATACGTTTTCGGTTCGGTTCGGTTCGCAGTTATGTTTAACAAGGCCTTTTCTGCGTCCTGTTTTTAAACTGAATTGTCCTGGTTTTTCCAAATTCAAATCTTATTTTTTTTTAATTTGGGGTCGGCCTAACCCTAGCCTAGCAGTACGAGCAAATCTTGCAAGTGATGCATGCCAGCTAGAAAATTATACCATGCTTTAACGTGCTAGAGCCATGCTGCAGCTATATTAGTAGTATAGTTATATCACGAATGGGTCGGCTCGACCGGGTGGGACCACGCTCTCACAGAATACCAGCGTAAAATAGCAGTCTAATGCTGCCGTGTTTCGTATGGTGAGTGTAGAGAACCGGAGACCCTTTTTACAGAAAAGAGGCATTCCATCTGAGTCCTCACGGGTGACAACGCATTTTCATTTCGATTCGCAAACGAGGATAGATGTAGATGTCTATGGACCACAGTAACCACTTACCATCAGGTGGACTGTGTGCTCGTTTGTTACCCTTATTCTATAAAAAAAGAATTCTTGGTAAGGCTCATGTCGAGCTGTTGCCTTTAACGTGTGCGCGTTTCCAGGTGGAAGCCTCAGTGAACTCGATGAACAAAGGCGACTGCTTCATCTTGGACGTCAATCACGACATATTTGTGTACGTCGGCGATGGTTCCAAGAGCGTGGAGCGTCTCAAGGCCATCACTGTCGCCAACCAGATTAAGGACCAGGATCACAACGGTCGAGGCAATATTGAGATCATAGGTAAGCGTCTTACTATTCTTAAACCCCCGTCGAGAACAGCGGGGTGTTATAAGTTTATAGTTTGTCTTTGTATCTATGTATGTGTGTATCTGTGAATCTGTGTATGTGTGTGTCTGTGTGTGTGTCATCATAGCTCCCGAACGGATGAACCGATTTTGATTGTTTTTTTTTCGTTTGAAAGGTAGCTTAATCGAGAATGTTCTTAGCTATGTTTCAAGAAAATCTGTTCAGCCGTTTGAAGATCATCAGCTGTTATTGTTACGGAGGTTTTTAAAATTTAGATTTTGGTTTATCGCCGCGCTGCAACCTCATCGCAGCACGAATATGTTGGCTCGATCGAGGTAGGTCGCAACACGAAGATGCCTTCTCGATCGGGGAAGTTCGGATAGCGGCATAATGCTTCCGTGTTAGTATACTGAGTGACAAGAACCGAAGCACTTTGTTAGTAAGGAGGCCATTTTACCCTTAGTCCTTTATCTTGATGACGTATCTGCATTTTGATTCTTAATCAAGGACATGATGTAGGATGCTGTGACCAATAGATTACAGTATTATGTATCTGTATATCATCAAGAATACTGGGCTTAATCGGAATTTGTCTCTGTGATTGAAATCTGCGATGAATCATTAAATTATGATTGATATTGTATCATTGTTATATATGTACATTAATAATAATTTTTTAACAGAGCACTGTTGAGCGTAGTCTTTTGTAACAGCTAATGCTTTTCCGTTGGTCACATATACTGAAGACATTATAAAAATGCGGTCCCAAATAAATACCCTGAGGTACTCTATTGTTTTAGATCCCTACTCAAACGAGGGTGATTTGGGCAAATTCTTCGAGGCTCTCGGATCCGGAGATCAAGATTCAGTGCCGGAAGCCACTGATGGTGGTGATGATGAAGTAAGTAAAATCTTTAGAAAACCCTTACAAAAGCATTAAAAAAATCTTAAATTGATAATAACCTTCTCACCCAGGTAGTCTCTTTTGCTAGAAGATATTCATATCCATATTCAGAGACAATTTAAAGCTTAAACTCAAACCATACAATGTCAAATTGTGAGTCTAGACCATATTACACAAAATTTGACATTGTGAAGTTTGTGTTTAAAAAAAATTAAAGAGTGTCTCTAAAGGGTAAGCAGAGTCGAAAGAGCAGCGAGCCACTCAGACCACATTTAGCCCAAAATTTAAAGATTTAGATGGAAAATTGTGAATTAAGTGATATTTGGCCACCGCCAACCCATTGCCTACGCAATCGCAAACTCAATATCCCATTAGTGCCTTTTATGACGTGCTAGGCAAGTAATACTGTATGCACATTTTTCATGCGGTAGAACCACGCTGCAGATATGTTATGGCTGCAGCAGGAATGCGACGACTTAATCGGGGAAGAACTACGCTCTCACAGAATACCAGCGTGAAATAGCAGCTTATTGCTACTTTGTTTCCTTTGAAGAGTGTAAAGAAATTGAGACTCTTTTTACTGGCAAGAAGGCATTCCATTCTAGTCTTCAGGAGGAGGATAGATTTCTATGGGTCACAACGTATGCCCACCATCAGATGGACTATGTGTTGGATTGTTACCCTTATATCTTTAAAATATTTTTGTAACAATTCCATCCATGCTGCAACTATATTACTGGTATAGTTGTAGCACGAAAGTGTTGGCTTGACCGGGGAAGGACAACGCTCTCACAGAATACCAGCGTAAAATAGCAGCTTAATGCTGTTGTGTTTTGTATGGTGAGTGTAGAGAACAGGAGACCATTTTTACTGGAAACGAGGCATTCCATCGTAGTCCTCACGGGTGACAACGCATCTGTATTTTTATTCGTAATCCAGGATGAATGTAGATGTCTATAGGCCACAGCAACCATTTATCATCAGGTGGACTACTATTACTACTAATATTATTAAAAAAAATTCATATGACCCTATTTAAAAAAGTTGGTTAGTAAATTAACAAAATCCATATTTGTTTTACTTATTTCTGTAATATAGCATTGGGACAATAGCGACTGCCGCCAATTATAGATATGAAAGAACACTGCTCCTCCTCTCTTGTCTTTCCTATCCTCTCGTAAGCCACTTAAGCCAGCAATGCTTTTAACCTAATCAGGAAGGAGATTAGTCAGAAAACTATGTCAAGTAAACCTGATCAAGTATTTTATTAACATTGCTTCTTTGGTTTAGGAGTTTGAACGCGGCTCAACCCAAGAAGTAACCTTAAGTGAGATCTCAGACAAGACTGGTCAGATCGAAATAAAGAAGATCGCCGGCCCGTTGAAGCAGGAACTTTTGGATTCACAGGTGACTTGCTTGTTTTATTTTTAATGATTAAATTCTCGTTAGAAGCAATAAAACAAATATTACTATAGTAATTTATAGATTATAAAGAACATATCGACATGCGATTCATTACTTTAGACCACAATTTGTATGGAATGGGCCTCCATTAATGGGGGCCCAATTCCATACCAAGAGAAATTGTCTCCCTTGATTGCGTTATTTTGCAATAGCCGGCCAAATTTGCAGAGAAGGTTCAGAAGTACTGTAGGCAAATGCTGAAGAAAAATTAATTAAAAATATCTCAAACATTCTGTTCTGTCCTTTTTATCTCTTAAATTCAAAATGCATGGTAATGCATTATTTTAACTGATTTTACTGCGCACGCACACATTCGTAGGGGTCGATCGGTAGGCAAAAGCGTTGTTGCCCATAAATCACATTCAATTTGGGATAATTTGAAATAAATGTAATTCCACTATAGAAAGGGAGTCCTGACGGAAAAATCTTACGCTTTTTCTCGCCTAGCCCCCATCTGTCAAATTCGTACCGTGTGATAAAAAATTTCGTTCCAAAAATACAGCTGTCAAAGGGATTTTCTAAACATAAGCAACAACACTGAAATAATTAATAGAAGCAGGCGTTACTTTGCGGAAATGCATTATATGTATTGCACGGAAGATCCGCCATATAAAATGATTACGCAGTTTAATACATTTTATTACGTGGATGTTAGCTAATTAATTTTTACATCGTTAAGTCAACGTTTCCAAGTTAGTTCTTCAATGTCAAATATTTTTTTTAAAATCGAACGTCAAGTACTTTTTTAATTTTAAATTTATTAAAACAAGAATAACGTAACAAGAGCATATTATTTCTATAAATATATAATATTTTGTTCGGCAATTTAAAAATGAAAAAATAAAAAATAGCCCGCGTAGTGGCGGGTAAGAATACCCACTATCCCATATCTTCCCATGGGTGTTGTAAGAGGCGACTGACAGAAACTGAGGCAGAAGATGGGCAGCAGCATCTTTCTGATGACAGCAAAACAACAATAAAAATCAATATGGCAATATATCCCCCATGAATATAGTTACGAAGAGACGGCCCCCAGTCCCCGGCGGCCCCGCTATTCCTGGCTACGGTGGCGACCATGGTAACGGCGGGGCAGGGGGTGAAAGATGATAATGATTTAAAAATACTGTGACTGTGTAGATAGAGATGGAGAGAGAAAGATTGAGTGACACAAAGAGAAAGAGAGAGACAGGGAGAGAGAATTAAGCAAATTTTAATATTTAATTTTGTTCTTAACAGGAATGCTATATCTTGGACACTGGAAGCAGTATCTATGTCTGGGTTGGAAAGAAATCCAATGGCAAGGTATGTAATCTTCATTATATATATATATATATATATATATCTTTAATATTATACTGTGATCCTACTCGGCTTCGCTGCGGTGGTTTCTGGATCTCGATAACGCCATTACCAGGTCCAAGTATAGTTAAGAATCCAGGTGACTTTATAAGAGAAGAGAAGAAGACTTACTCACACAGCCTTTATTTAATGACTCATAATTACAATATATATTGGTACCCGATAGGTTAAGTAGCGCTGTAGTCGCGTTGTTAATAAATTTCCTAATTACCGTTACAGACCATTTAACAGTGGTAGAGCCAGGTGGCGGCTTTTGCTGTCGCACGGATGGGCCGGCTCGAACCGGGATGGTACCACGACCTCACAGAATACCAGCGGGAAGTAGAGGTTTACCTCTGCGTTTCGCTTGGTGAGTGCAGGTGGCCGGAGGCCCTTTTTACTGGAAATGAGGCATTCCATCTTAGTCCTCACGGGTGACAACGCATCTGCATTTTGATTTGTAATAGAGGATAGATATAGATGTCTATGAGCAGCAGCAACCACTTACCATCAGGTGGTCTGTGTGCTCGTTTGTCACCCTTACCCTATAAAAAAAAGGCCACCGCTGAAGATGGACCTCCTCCATTGAATGTCTAAGGGGTCATGCCCACGAGACTAGCTAAGTCCGGCGTCAAACCGGGTCTACGTCCGGTCGTCAGTATTGTATGGTACACTATGAAACCAAACACACGACACCGGCGCTAGCGACGTTTTTTTTAATACGATAAAGGTGACAAACGAGCACACAGTCCACCTGATGGTAAGTGGTTGCTGTGGCCCATAGACATCTACATTTATCCTCGATTACGAATCGAAATGCAGATGCATTGTCACCCGTGAGGACTAAAATGGAATGCCTCGTTTCCAGTAAAAAGGGTCTCCGGTTCTCTACACTCACCATACGAAACACAGCAGCATTAAGCTGCTATTTTGCGCTGGTATTCTGTGAGAGCGTGGTTCTTCCCCGGTCGAGCCGACCCATTCGTGTTACAACTATACCAGAAATATAGCTGCAGCATGGCTCTACCACGCATGAAATACCATGTCTACAAATACCACGTCCGTCAAAGCGTCCGAAAACCCGTCTCGTGGGCATGAGCCCTAATAGTGGATATTTGCCATAGTTATCATACTTGGCAGGCGGGTTGGCAACCGTAGTGTTTTTATTTTAACTGATATCACCTGGTTTGTTTCCCTCTGTCGCCTCTTACGACAACCACGGGATGATATGGGGTAGTGGATATTCTTACACCGTTATTGTACGGTCAAACGAATAAAAACGAGAACGTAGTAAAAATTGAGTGTGCCGTGCTCAGGGGCTAATTGCTCGTTATAAATTGCACAGTACGCGAGTAAGAGTAACCCAGGGTCGATCCCCGCCGGCACCAATGAAATTGTTAATTGCAATTTTAAGTACTAATTTACCACGTGTTCGACGGTGAAGGAAAACATCGTGAGGAAACCCGCATAGATATGAATATTTCTCAGATGAGAAATAAAAAATAAATATTTCGAAGACATGTAAAGTTCACCAACACGCATTGGGGCAGCGCGGCGCACTTTCCTTTGCCCTAAAACCCTCTCAGAAATCAGGGGAGGCCCAGCAGTAGGACGTGTATAGGCTGTAACTTTACTTTGCTATTATTAAAAAATTCTGGAATTGATTCAGAGTGAAACACCACCCTCCGGAAAAGGCAGAATAGCTTCTGCCGAGCTATCCAGTGAATATAAATAGTATTTGCCTTGTCGTCTCCGAAACAGATACTGAAAATGGGTCGGCTAAATCACTCACATCCTCTAGTATAAAACAAAGTACTATCGATTAAATTAACTGTAATACAATAGACAATTTGTGTTGGTACATAATCGGACTTAATTTTTAAAGAACGGTTAATAAAACCATCGGCCTGCAAAATATATAATTTATAAAACTGAAGTGTCATACGAAGTTACAGTTCACCTGATGGTACGTGGCTCCTGCACTCCATGGACACCCGCAACCAATTACATACAAAGAAGGCTACGGATGCGTTATCATAGGCCTAAGATATACATACTCGTATTCTGCCTCTTTATTTTTTTATTTATTGTTAGCCAGTGCTTGTCTACAATTCCAACTAATGGTAAGTGGTGATGCAGCCCTAGATGGTAAATCACACTGTCTTAGCGTAACAAAAGCCTATTCACTCTTGCCTTGATAACGCCCAGATTGTATTCGGACGGAAAGACAGACGCCGGCAAATTATCCCACTCCTTGGCTTTGCGTATTATGAAATACGAAACAAACCGTTTAGTTCTAATGCGTAGAATATCGACAATAAATGGGTGAAGACCCACTGAACTCCTGTAGTCCGATAATAGAAAGAGGAGGGAGGAATTAAGGCATGTAATCCCTGCGCATACTCGCCTGGCTACTCTGCGCCTGTGTACCTTCAAACCAAAACAGGTGTTACCTACTCAGGCGGACTTGGTACATATATATCAAAAATAATTCTTGCATTCTGTCTCTCTTGTTATTACTAGCTGTTCCTAGCGACTTCGCCCGCGTGTAATTTAGGGTTTTAATTATGTTGCGCGGAACCCTAATTCTTTACTTTTTACTTAGTTTACTCCTTATAACTTCAGCTATCTGCCAGTGAAAGTCCCGTCGAAATCGGTCCAGCCGTTTCGGAGATTAGCCGGAACAAACAGACAGACAGTCAGAGACAGACAAAAATTTTAAAAATTGTGTTTTTTTTATAAGTATCGTATATACGTTTACGTGCATTTAGTAAAAAGCTGTCATTTTGACATTACAAACAGACACTTCAATTTTATTTATTTGTATAGATGTATAGATATAATTTTGATTTGTAAACAGTTATTGTTTTCTTTTAGGAAAAGTCCGTTGCGATGGACAAAGCGAAACAGTACTTAAAGGCCAACAACTATCCAGCTTGGGTAAGACGATAGGAAATATATCATTAATTAATTCATACATTAATACATTATATCCCGTATGTTGACTATCATACATTAATTCCCGTCATATTGACTGTCTCTTTGAGTTAGTGGTCGTAAACGCGACTGCTGTTCACGAGCTCCAGGGTTCAAATCTCGGGCGGTCCAGGCAGTTGGCGGTGGTTCACTCCCGTGCTTCGGAAAGCACGTAAAGCCGGTGGTACTGCGTCTGATCTCTCTCCGGTCGTGTCGGTTTGCCGTCCCATCGGACTATGAGAGTAAGGAAATAGAACAGCACGACCAAATTTCGTTCTGGAGGACATTATTACAATACGTCAAAAGTCCACAGCTGATCATAGGCCTACTTGAGATATTACAGATAGGGGTGATACAAAAAAAGATACAAACAAGATGCATAATGGATGCGTAGTTGTTTGAAAAGTAGCAGTTGATAACAGGGTTGTTACGGAAGTGGTTATATCGGAACCGAATTCGGAAGCGGAGTTTTTAAATTTTGTTTGTCGGAACCGGAACCGGAATCGGAGGTGGCGGCAGAAGAGATGTCTTAAGGGCAGATCTATTGCACTGTATTTTTCTTTTCAGTTTCAAATTTTTTGAAATCTTCGCATTCAGTGGCATGCACAGACTTTAAATGACTTTTTAACGAAGTGGTCGTATCTCCCTTTCGTGAATATATCTTCTCACATAGTTAACACTTTGCCGCATTCTCAGAAACTTCATTGAAATAATTCCAAATGGCACTTGATTTTGGCTTCATTGACCAATTTAAATAAAATTGTTACACGTCAAAAAACACTACTAAAACTAATTAAAAACTCGGATAAATGAAGCGCGAACGCACAACATGCCAATTGCCAAAATATGAAACAAAACATCAAGTTAAAGAGTAATCGACAGAAGGCACGGGGGTAGGTAGGTTTCCGGGGCGACAAGTATAATTGTTTGTACACGCTGATCGTGGCCGCCGCCACCACTGTACTTCGACCTCCGATATATAACTTCCGATTAAAATTTAATGGAATCGAAATCGGAATCGAAAATCAATCGGAAATTCCGAACTTTCGGAATCGGAATCGAACCACCGTAACATCTCTAGTTGATAACACGCCTACCAAGTGTAGCAACACTTGTTATCAACTGCTATTTTTCCCATCTATTGGTGTTTATGTTATTAAGTGGCTATGCAACTAAAGATGGTAAATGATAATATGGTAAAATAGTACAAACTATGATGCAAATACGAAGGTGAACACAAGTGAGAACATTGTATGTCGTAGATTTGCTCACGAGCCATTGAGTTATATGTACTACGTACTAGAGAAGCCATTCCAAACAAAAATTGTGTCCTACTCTATGTCTTCGCGCAAGCGCGGGAGTAGTAGTCGCGCATGCGCGAAGACTTTAATTTATTTAATATAAAATAAGATATTAATATAAAATAAATATAATAATTTAATATAAAATATCTTAATTTAATCTAACCAAACATATTTCTAAATAAAATGTAATAATAATTATTTTATGGAATTCACAAATCATCAATTTACGCAATATTTAGTTTGTATGGATTGCACTACAGTTCAGTTGAACATAGTCAATGTTCGGAATGGCTTCTCTAGTACGTAGTACATATAACTCAATGCTCTCGAGCTCTTAAGATATCTCGGCAAGAGTCTGTAATTAGTATGTCTCCACGATACAGAAATTCCTTGTTACACACAAGGAAAAATATTAATTTATTTAAATTTCAGGTACACATTTCAAAAGTGACAGAAGGTGCGGAGCCCGCTGCGTTCAAACAGTACTTCGAAGACTGGAACTAAATATGCTATAGTGTAGTACCTAACTAAGATTTATTTAACGACATTGGAAATTATTTCCTAATTAAAAATATAAATTTAAGAATCTCTGTTACGAATGCACAACAAACTGCATTTTTCTATATTTCCTTTGAAATATATAAACTTAACTAAGTAATTGGACGTAGTTACGCACAAGCGTGGCAACACAGTTGCCGATTGTGGCAACTATGGCAAATATATAAGCCAACGTTTGGAGTTTTGGCGGGAAATTGACCGGCGGCGGTTTGCTGCTCCTGTATTATTGTTTAAATAATGGTTTGAAGTGGACTTTGATATGTAAAAGTGTTGCGATTTTGTGTATTAAGTGTCTACGCATGTGAACTATTAGTGGAAACAGTGAAACAAGTGCTCTGATGGTGATGGATTCTCAAGATAAGCTGTTTGTTTGCATAGGCACCTTTAGATACCATCGCCAACTATCAGCTGTCTGCTGGATCAAGTTGCCGCCAAAATCTCCCAAGAACTGCACAATGTGACGCATCAACATATTGTGAAGCAGTATACTATGAAGAAGTGGGAAAATTACAATAAACCGAATAAAAATACTTAAGACTTGGCCTAAAGGTCTAGATACCAGGCCATAAACTCCAAAAAAAAATAAGCAAACGTTTGGCAGTGGAATTTCGATAGGTTTTAATAATGATAATGATGACGCACAAGTAAATTATAATTAAAAAAAAAACAAACGTCTGTTGTGATTGTGATCTAAATAACCTATGCCTATAAAAAAAAACTAAGTCTGTAAGATTGAAATAGCCGGTTTTCATTAATCTTAGGGGGGTGTTCGCTTGGTATTAAGATATATCATCATACATTGATTATTTTAAATCTAAATTACGCCACATTAATACATCCTATTCAGCCGAAGCCGGGGCGGGTCGCTAGTAATAAATACAATCTTTTTTAAGTATCTTCAATAACACGCATTGATCAAGAGCCGTGATGATTCTAATGAGAATGCTTGGTCGTAGTCATGAAATTATTGTGTTGTCATTGGCTTTTAATACGTCTGCAAAATTCCAGATAATTCTGGAGTATGCAAATGAGTGAAAACTGCATTATATTTTATTTACATTTACGCTATTTACATACTAAAAATGTATATCAATGATTAATACACATGCAGACATAGATATACAGGTTGAGGTGATAAAAAAGCATATGATTTTTTTTAATTTATTCACATTTTCACCTTATGGACGAGTCTTGTTAGCGTAACTACGTCCAATTGTTTTTTTTTAAATTTTTAAGCATAATATTAACAGTTCAAATATTTTGTTGTTTTGTTTTAACTTGAATGTTTTTGTTACCTACATGACAGTTTTGTAACACTGGTTACTCATTTTCGTTTTTTGTTTGTGTTAAAATATTTTTTTTTTATTAAACTACACGTTTCGTTACATACTTTATAATTTTTCTTTTTTGATGTAGTAACCAAACATATTAAAAATCTAATATCCTTTGTGGTAACACACCAAATTTTATTTCGTTTGATTGAATATATTTAATACAATGTTTATGAATGTATTATATCTGGAACATTTCTGTGTAGTTTTCTGTGTAGGGCTGTCATCTTTAAAATATTTTTGACTGCTATAGAATTCCTTTACGCATTCAGTCAGCTCTTTGTAACTCTTTTCTATATGGCAATGCACTGAAGATTTTAAATAAATAAATAAATCGAAAGAAGTCGAACGAGAACTCATTTTTAGAGAATAGCACGCGGACATTTTTACCATTACTTTTTTGATACTTCTAACTTAACAGTTCTAGATGATAGGGTTCCTTTCCTACCTCGGAGTCCGTCAAGAAAGTATAGAGATTTATGTAGAGACGTCTAAGTTTATATAGATAAAAGAACAGATGAACTTTACAATTCCTATTTAATATATGCGAAGAGGAGAAGATTAATACGGGTAGGTAATTATGCGAGAGCAATTTTTACAGTTTTCTTTTAGGTAATTCTAATTCTTAATCCTAACGACTCCTTGCCGTTGCGACACATAAAATAAAAATATACTAAGCCATTTCTTAGCATTGGATACGTGGCATTCTGCCACACAGGTACCACCATTTCACTTATTTCTGTCGTCAAATAGCAATACTTGTACTGCTTGCAGTATTCCGGCGAGAAGAACTTATAGAGCCAATAATAAGATATTTACTGGCTCTGAGGTATTCTATCCTAGTCTTTAGAAGTGAAAACGCATGTGTAACTTGCTTTGTTTGAAGTTTGCTGCAGGTGTCCACGGACTGCAGTAGCCATTTACATAGTCTTATAAAAAAGTTATAATCTTTTTCAATATTGAATAAAATTGTTTTTGCAGATTTGTAGTCTATCAAATCTGATGTAATGACTCCTCGATGCGTCAGTTGTACAGTTATACACTACAGGGCGTAAACCTAGTCCTCCATAACTATAGGTGCAACGAAGTCATCGAAATGTCAGGGAGAAAATATTATCAAAAAAAAATTTTGCAAATTTTGTTTTATTCAATGTGTATTATGCGGGTAAATTAAAGAGTATACGTGGTGTGATTAAAACCATTATTTTTATATAGTGTTTTATTATCATTTATAATTGAAATACAAAAATAATAATAACGTGCAATAAATGTGCATTAAACAATAAATGGACGATAAAAAATATGCATTAAAAATACATTTTGTATTCTTAAAGTTTTAAAATATGAAGTAAGTTTGGAACCCGCTCTCTACCTGAACCCAGATGACAGTCCTTGGTCTTTGTGTTGGTGCCTTCTTAATAACGTGCTTAAGTGTATGTATTTTGGTTTCATGTGTAACTTTTATAGTGACCTTTATTTTGTGATCTGTAACGCATAAGTTTAGTTAAGTTTTATTTAAGTAAGGTTGTGATGTTGTCACAAATAAATAAAAATAAAAAATTGTCTTTTATTTAACAAAGTCACTATCCGATTTCCAATGAGGCAGTCTGATTGAATTATTTGAGCGTTATCGTTGATTTGTTTTATGCGATTGTAATTCCCTCCCATACCAAAATCGGATATACGAGGTGTTCTGTCTAGAAATTGTCAGCAGCAGCCCGGAGTCAGGAAGTTTTTTTTTTATAGGATAAGGGTGACAAACGAGCACACAGTCCACCTGATGGTAAGTGGTTGCTGCGGCCCATAGACATCTACAACTATCCTCGTTTTCGAATCAAAATGCAGATGCGTTGTCACCCGTGAGGACTAAGATAGAATGCCTCATTCCCAGTAAAAAGGGCCTCCGGCCACCTGCACTCACCAAACGAAACGCAGAGGTAAACCTCTACTTCACGCTGGTATTCTGTGAGGTCGTGGTACCACCCCGGTTTGAGCCGGCCCATCCATGCGACAGCAAAAGCTGCCGCGTGGCTCTACCACTGTTGACGGTGTTTCATCCACGTACCTCTAAAACCACGCAAAGCCTTTACTCCCGCGCCTGCACTCTCTAGTCGTGTCGGATTGTAAAATTCGGTCTGGAGGACACTTAAAAAAAAACTATCTCTTTCAACTCATAAACAATCTGTAACTAGACAAAGGCTTCCATCATGAAGAGCGATAGGTTTTTTTTTAAATTGTAGAATATGGATGATAAACAATTCGAAACGAGTTCTTCTGATGGTAAGTGGACGTTATAGCCCTTTTATATGTACCTACATCTATCTTCAATGAGGGCTAGTAATTTTTACTCACCAGATGTCGCTAGTTGACACTGAGATAAAGTTTTTAGTTACACAATGTCATTTAATTGAGAAATTGGTTTTTAATAAAAGTTTATATAGAGTATTATATTAATACAAAAAACAATGCGTCAGTGCGTCTTTAAAAAGTCGTGGATGCCCTCATTAAGAGTCATGTTATTTAAATGTGTGTTATTTTAAAATATAAATTATTACTACTAAGATCTGCTTTATCAACCATTTGAAGACATCAAACAACTGGATCCTTATTTTGGTCTTAATCACGCAGTGTCTTAATGGTTTTCCAATACACGAGCTTATCACACTGGGAGACGGTTTGGTGAACTCAAAACTAGTAACCCTCGCAATAGCGACGTGATGCCATTTACGATCACTAGTCCGTGTAATTTGAGTTTGCACTTTATAAAGTCATGAATTTAAACAGACATACCGTGAAATTTTTTAATTGAGAGTAGAATTCCTTCTGTGCCTAAGAGTCTATCTCGGTAGATAACACATACGCCGCCAAATAGCAGTGCTTAAACTGTTGTATTTCGGTCTAAAGGTTATAGAGAGTTGGTATAATAAGAACCTGTGATGCATTCTTCCATAGTCCTTAGAGGCTATTATTGTTTTAGAGTGCTGTAAAAGATGAAAATAGACTCCACACTCGCATTGAGTATAGGCCTTGTGACACTTTAATTCGGCCCTCGAATTTTCTGTCGCTCTAATCAACATTGGTCTTAATAGGCAATTGCAGAAGCCCATGAAACTATAAAAGCACGAGCTTCGCCTAAAAACGGCGACGCCTTAAGAAAAATTGTCGGCAATTTAATTCTTAAAAAACACATTGAAATTATTGCTATATAATATTTTTTATGAAAAATATCCTTATGGTATAAGTGGCTAGTGAAGTCCATTGATACCTGCATTCAGCTTCAAAGAAGGAAAGCTACAGATGCGTTCATACCTCTAAAAACGAAGATAGAATGCTTCACGGCCTGCAATTTATGCTGGCTTGGTACCCTTTAAACGAAGCAGCATTGGTCTTACTGCCGCTAGGCGGGAGATTTGTGTAAGGAAAGGATTAATACTGGTTCAGACGGACCGGAACACAAAAAGTTCTGCCACATTGTATTTAGGCTTCTTCGAGAAGTTGTTAATAAATGTGTAAAAGTATTAATTTATGAACACAGATATTTTTTTTTTGACTCAGTTTATGTGATAAGAGCGGAGGTAGGTTAAGATCAGGGGCGTAGCTACCGCCGTATTAGGC